TGGGTACGCCCTCGTCTTCGGCTTCGAGACGTATCTTCTTCAGTGCGACTATGCGGCCATAGTTGTCGAGATCGCGGGCTCTGTATACGACACCATAGGTACCTGTGATACTGTGACGGTTTATGGAGTCAAGAGGTCACGTCTGCCACGTGTGCTGGTGCAGTGCTCTTGCCTGTTCCAACAGCACTTTCTGGCTGCACGACAGATACGTCATGTAAACAGACCCTGATGACTGCCGGGTGAGAGACAATCACAGAACAAGAACAACAACAGAACACAATATTTACTGATTCTACTGCTTCGCGCATTTTTCCCCCCTGACCAACTGCCCTGCGCGGTTACACCTTCATCTATTGCATCTACTGCAACATAATCTTTCTTTGACAAACAGGCGACAAATAGGCTCGTTCGTCAGAAGATTCGCCAAAGCGACAAGAGTGTCTCTGACTGTTACACTTCCTGCGGCTTTGGTACTTAGCAACGCTTCGATGATCCTGAATGTGTCACCCGAACCCCATCACAAGAGAGCGGAGAACGACAGACAAGCGGATAGTTGTCTAAACAAGAGGAAGGACCTGTCGAAGAAAAAGCAAAGGGTAATACTTCGCCACAACGGCTGCAGGCCGAGACAAAACACAACTATCCTGTTGCATTCTTAGGTTTAAGGAATGGGCAAAACATTGTCGCTGTGCGTATGCATAAGATGGAGCAAAGCGGGGTAACGGATAGTTTTTAAAAGACCCGGCCCTAACCTGCATCCACTCCGGGGGATTCTGACATCTAGTCAAATTCGTAGAGCGCTGGCGGTGTGTAGGAATTACACGAACCTGCATGGAATAGCAACTGAAGAGTGCCCCGCCCATGATGGGTGCATGCCTATGTACAGTAGTGCCGGCACATTTGAAAATTTGACAGGAGCAAGAGGCTATAATGGTGGTGGTTTGCTGCTAATGTGTTGAGTAGCGCCAAACCTCCATGTCCTGTGCTCTTGCGCCTTCGACATGCGTTGCAGTTACGGAGCCGCCACTAACTCGGAGTGCAGTCCACCACCGTATTCACTACCACGTGTTGAAGAAATGAATGGTCATGATGGCTGGACTACCGTCAAAGATCGCGCGATGAAGAAGCGCATCCAAAATCGTGTCACGCAAAGGACTTACCGTAAGTGTTTGCACTTTAAATCTCGAAGAAAATGTTGACGATTAACAGGGCAACGCGTGAAAGTTAGAATGGCAGACCTTCAGGCAAAGCTTGACAATTGCGAGAAAAAGCTTCAATCAAGGGAGAACGACTACCAAGATGGTGGTGAAGAAAGCCCAGGATCGCCTATACAGAGGCCAGATTCATTACGGTCTTCCCTTCTGTCGAGTCGCCAGTAAAGACACGTGCTTCTCCTACAAACGGTACCTCGTCCTCTCGCGGTAGCACAGCGACAAAGAAAGGTGTCGAACAAGAGGTTTCTGAATTCTCGAGCTCTGTCCTTTCGGAAAAGCGAGACAGAAGCAATAGAACAGAAAATGACAGGCAACAAGTTTTCTTGCCACTAGACGTAGGCTGCGTTCAAGAAAAAGAGCATCCGCAACCAGGAAATGGTGCAACAGATGGTACGTGATCGGAGCGCGGCCATTCTGACGAAAATTGATAAAATGGTAGCCCAACACACTTCATCTAATTTGACCAACGGCGAACCTGTTTCTTTCGCACTTGGAAACGACGACAACCTCGCGTCTCACCTGAGTACCGATATTGGTTCCCGGGAGTCTAGCAACATTACCAACTTAATGCAACAGGTACCCTGGACAGGCGTACGGCAGCGTGACCAGCAAGGTGGTCCGCCAAGCATCACGACATTACATAATGTAGACACTGTGTTAGCTAGCGGTCCATTGCAGTGTCTACCAGCGGCCCGTTGCAGTGTTTGCCAACGGCCCGCTGCACTGATAGTCCAGCTCATTCGGTTAGTTCGGTTTGCTTCACTGCTATCCCCTTCTACTATATAGTCCCGATCGATCCTCGCCATAGCCAAATAGACCAATCAAGACTCTCAACCCTTCCACACCTTTGACACCTGGGGCCATACAGTTAGTGCACGCTTGACTGCATTATCGAGGGATTAGTTCAAGTTCTCCTAATTACTGCCGCGTACCGAGATCACAATATCAGTTCAGAGCCATAGGGTCGCAGTTTGAGGAAGGAGGTGAGCAGATGTATGCCTAGAACTCTATCGCAGACAGTGCTGGCGCTGAAGAAGCTCTCCATCCGCCGCCTTCCGGTGTTACAAGCCATCGTGCGCTCGCTCATCGAACACGTCGTTGTGGGTGACATGTGCTTTCACTTCAGTTAGTTTGAAGGGAGACTAAAGTAGACTTTGCTAACGTGGCTTTGTAGATCGACCCCTTAGGCAGACCTTCATTCAGCCAGTCGCTGTTAGCTCTCCATACAAGTGCACCGAGGAGTTAGTAAAGTCTGCCTTACAGTGGATTACTATCGCAGCGAATGCACCCATATCCGAGATTTAGTGTACAGGCTTTGTGGTTCGGAGCGCGCGATGCGGCGTTTCAACCTTAACACTAGTCGTTCTGTGACGGTTTATGGAGTGAAGAGGTCATGTCTGCCACGTGCTGGTGAAGTGCTCTTGCCTGTTCCAACAGCACTTTCTTGACTGCACGGGATATACGCCATGTAAACAAACCCTAATGACCCGGTGAGGGAGAACGGAGAACACAACACAGAACAACAGAATATACCGATTTTACTGCTTCGCGCGGTTACCCCTGACTTACTGCCCTGCGCGGTTACCCCTTCACTTATTGCATTTACTGCAACACGTTCCCATGTCCAGCCTTTTTCCGATGCAACATTCAGCGAGCAACACCATGATGGCTTGCAGGTTCGAAATCCTATATCACGTCCACAATGACTTCACAAATATTTCCTTCAAGCAAAGAGTATTAAGTTTTCTACAATCGTGAAATTTTCAGCCTTGCTTACCGGAGCGTTTTTCGGCCTTGCGTCCCTCAGCACGACCTACGCAGCCAAATCATTATCGGTCTCAAATCTATACTATGCAGCCTGTCTCAGAGAGGCAGAACATATGACCTTCTTCAATGACTGCAGAGTGCCGGCGTCAAGGTGCTGCGTGTATGGCTCGATGGTACAACTTCGCTTTCAATTTTCCCTTCCCCGACTGACAACCCCTCAAGATCAATCCGAGACCACTAGAGGCACGCCCATTGACCCATTTCCAGCCTTTCAAGGCGATTCTCCTTCATCTTGGGTTGACACCGTTTTGAACTGCCTTGACAAACTTATGGTGAAAGCACACAGCCACGGCATCAAACTTCTCATCTCAGTCCACAACTACAAAGCATTTGGAAGCTGGTCCGCTTCGTACTCCACCATATATACTCAATACATTCCCATGTTCACATCAATGCGTACTAACTTGCGCCTTGGCGAATTCAGTTATCTAATTTCCACTCCTTCAATGCATGTACGCTTTTCATAATCCTGATTACTGGCATCTTCATGATGCTTATCACATTATTCTCAGAGAAGCTCCTTGGTTTGTTGTTAGACCATACTCTTCTGGGTAGACACGAGCGACTGGTCCAGGGCCATGCTGAGTGGAAGGCAGGGTCGACATTGCAGCTATAACGGATAGCCCACGAGAATCTGGGATTAGGTGCCTGGAAGAGAACTGACAAGTCTGTCCCAGCGACAAATAAGAGCGATATCCTTGGGATGTTCGACATCACCGACCCGAAAAATGCTCGTCTAGTAAAGTCGAGTACCGCAACGGATATGAGTGAAGTCAGTGGAATGGCAATGATGGCGTCGATTTCAACGTTGACCTCGAACGCAACGACGGCGTCATTGACGACAATGGTGGTAATGATTACAATGACGGCCCCATAACCAGGCGCAAGCGCCAAAGTCCAGTACCTGAGGCTGCCCAGCAATCAGCATGCTTCGACCTGGTAACTCTCGTCAGCCCTGAGGCCGGACTGCGATCATTTCAAGACATCGGTCGGTCGCGCATGATTAACAAAGCTATTGTCTGTACATCCAAGTAATCGTGGCTGATCAGGCGAGAAGGAATGCGCCAGGGAATTCTGCGTCAGCATAAACCCACAAACATATCGAAATGTGTGTTCGACAGTTCAAGCATCATAGAATTACCACACAAACCAGGTAAATGAAACACTCATCAGTGCGTGTGACATCTGCCATGATGATCATTACGACGGTGCACTGAGGTCGTGTGTTGGTGTCTTGCTCGTACTCGGCAGCCACAGTCCCGGACAGTCAGGGGCTATCACCACAACTCGCACGATGCAAAAGGAATATTGTTTTGTTTCCCAGCCATTGCAGCACGTGACAGCCATCACGACGCAGGCAAAACCAACACAGTCTGACATATGCGCATTCCAGGATGGTGTTGGGGTACAGACCGCGTGGGGCGCGGGGTTGTGCGATGCAGGGCCCTTTTCGGGCGATGTTTTCGATAGGCGGCCCAAAATAGCCGGCGACGCTATCAAGATGCGCTAAAGGCTGCTAAGAGATGCAGGGTGGCGATGCAGGGCAAAGTGGATGGCAGACCCTTCAGAAGAGCAATTGATAATGCTATCGTGCGCGCTCAGGCAAGCAGCGAGGCCTGCGCCGCTCGTGATTGCAAAGTGGAAGGCATGAGAAGGCGTAAAATGTGAGACGTGGCTCGCTGATTGACATTGATAGCGTCTCGATGGGGAGCTAGCGCATATCGAAAGGGAAGTGGACCCTCAGCACTTTGTGTCACGGACATGGATGACACTTTCCCTTGGGCCCGTCCGCCCAGGCGCCTCTCGTACTCCCTCCCTCAGTCGCTGCCGCTCGTTTCTTACAAAGTCTTTCTCATCTGCATCGCCGCGTGTTTCGTTCCCTGCCCGTCTCTTTCCCAGTACTAACCCCCCCCCCCTCCTTAGATCACTGTAATTGTGATCCACGACGCTCGCTTCAGCGCCTACTGCTCCACCACGTTTCAGGGGCACACACCCTCGTAATACCCACCCACACCGACCGCTACCCCATTCGCTTGGCCTCACCCCCGGATCCCTTCACGTCTGTCTGTTCACCAACACCCTTGGAAGGCACGTCCGACATATCGCATTCGCACACTCACCCCGCCGTTGGAGTGACAGCCGGTCTTTGACAGCTGCACGGCTGCACGGCTACACGGTTGCACGAGCTGCGCGCAGCATCCTTACACGACATCCCCGTCACGAAAACTTACCACGACAATGGTTCGCGGCGCCTTCTCCGCTGTCTTCGCTGCAGCAGCCCTCGCTGGCACCGCCTACGCTGGCGCAAAATGCACAAAGGACAGCCACTGCCCATCAGAGACACCGTGCTGCTCGCGTGCGTACCCTTTGTCCTTGGTTCTCATGTTGCGCTGCTAACAGCTTTGCAGTATACGGCGATTGCGGTATCGGCGCTTTCTGCCTTGGCGGTTGCGACCCGCTCATGTCGCACTCCTTCGATTCTTGCGTACCCGGTCCCGTCTGCAAGTCCGGCACATACGCCCTCGACTCGCTCAGCAATGTTCAGAGCATTGACAAGTACCTCGGCGACTCGTCCAAGATCGACTGGCAGTCGCAGGGCATGCCCGCCATCTACACTGACCCTAGCAGCGGCAAGAAGTCGACTCTCTTGACTATGGCAGAGGGCACAGTTGGAACTTTGTTGGCATCAACACATTACGTTTGGTACGGCAAGATCTGCACCAAGGCCACCACAGCTCAGGGCAAGGGTGTCGTGACGGCCTTCATTCTCATGTCTGACGTTAAGGATGAGATTGACTTTGAGTGGATTGGTATCGACACCTCGCACGTCCAGTCCAACTTCTACTCCCAGGGCGTCACAGTTTGTATGTAGCTTTGCTCACGATTCATTGAATCCAACTAACTTTATGCAGACACGAACGGTAAGAACATGACTGTACCTGGAGGCAACACCGTCCAGAATATGCACGAGTACTGCATCGACTGGAAGGAGGACTCGCTCACCTGGTCCATCGACGGCAACGACCTGCGCACACTCAACCGCAAGGACACATGGAACGGCACCTCTGGCCGCTTCGACTACCCACAGACACCCTCCCGCATCATGCTTTCGCTCTGGCCCGCCGGTCTGCCCACCAACGCGAAGGGTACTATCGACTGGGCTGGTGGTGAGATCGACTGGAACAGCCCCTACATGCAGAACGGCTACTACTATGCTCGCTTCCAGGAACTCACCGTCGACTGCTACGACGCACCAGACGGCACCAAGAAGTCTGGCTCCAAGAGCTACAAGTACAACGACTACGCCGGTACCAACAACACCGTCGAAATCACAAATGACCAGGTCATCCTTGGCTCGCTCATGGGCACTGGCGAGAACCCTGGCGATGCACCTAAGTCTGGCGACTCCGAGGCGACACAAACAGCAGATGTTGCCAACGTTCCCGGTGGTAACGTTGGAGGTGGTAACCGCGCTGAGGAGACTTCCACGCAGGCTGCTACAGGGACAGGCAGCGGCGCGCAAGCTACAGGAGACTCCGGCAGCGATAGCGGTAGCTCCACACAGTTCGTCCAGGGCAGTAGCTCAACAGAGCAAAGCACTGGTGCTGCGGCGAGCATCGAGCCAAAGCTTGCTGGCTCGATTCTTGCTGTTGTCGTTGCCATTGCTGGTTTGGCTGCTGGACTGTAGGTTGTTGTTTTTTGAGTTGAGTCACGTTTCATGTCCATCTTTGGTGTTTGGGAAAAGAGATCATTGCATATCAACGGTCCTTTTGTTACTTCTGTTCATAGCGTGTACCTTCAGGGGGTGATTCTGGTTTGAGGACGGGTGCGATTTAGGGTTCATTTCTTGCATATCCTTTTGATAGTAAGATTCTTTATTGAGAGCGGAAGGGGTTACTAAGGCTATGGCCGTTGCATCCCTCTGGTCGTAGAGAGCAAATAATAATCCACATTTCACAAACACTTTGTTGGATGAGCATTGAGCACTTGTCCAGATCTGCTGGGAAGGCACCACCTCACTAGTGGCGGACGTTTCTTCCGGTTTTCCACTGCGCCGTGCCTGCCATCTCACCTCACTCACCACATGTTCACGGAACAATCTTGTATCGTCAGCACATCGCTGCAAACGACGATAAAGCTCAACAGTAATGCTAGCATCTGAAAGGGTCGGATGCCATACTCTTGACTGTATTCGTAAGTCGTGACAGCGTATACTAATGTACAGAAGGCTTTCCCCGCTCCTGGCGCACTCTCACCCACCGTCTCTCTGCTATCTCGAAGGCAGTGAGCACTCAACATCCGCACAAAATCTACTCCCCCTGAGCTTCCATCTCTTCGTCAAGGCACTGAACAAAGACGGTCACTTGGCCATATACTATGAGAAACGACCCGCATCTCGAGGTTCTCGTCATCATCACAACGCTCGCTCTACTTTGGCACAGTCTTGCGGAGCACGTCATCCATCCTTTATCATATGCTTGTTTCAAACGTGTTCAGCCATGCTTCTCCCATCGTCGAAGCACAAGAGCTTGCGTATAAGGGTGCGTGGTATCGATGGCTCAAGCCACTTGGAAGCCTCTCAATACGACCTATCTACGCAGGACTTTGGCTTTATTATCCCGCCACACCTCCCTTCTTCCACCCAAAATATACGCGAACAGTTAATTTAGTACTCTTCAAAGCAAGCGGCTTTCAGCTACTTACATGAGCTTGATGTTCCATGCATCGACTTTCGACAATCTCATGGATTCTGAGACTCTCAGACATCACTTTCACCAGAGTTATTTGGTCACAGCACGAATCGATCGATTCTGCTGAAGGCACGAGAACGGGCCGCACGTGGTTGGCCAACAAGGACATTGCAGGGAAGGCTGACAGTAGGGGCCGAAGTACCATACGGCTGTTGCAGGGGGGTTCCAACGTGGTGGTGAGGAGTCCACGTATGTCCTTGAACGTGACACTTGCTACACGTTGGTGGTGCTTGCTGACGTCCTTGAGTAGCCGGAGTTTGGTCACCCTCCACAGCCAACCTTTCAGCCTCTGTAGCAAGCTCCTGACCGTGCTGGACCTGTAGAACTCCTCCACGGGCTATATACTGACGCCGCTGGTCTCTCTTACGTTGTTGACGCTGACTAGCTGTACGGAGCTTCCTATTCTCCTCTGCAAGTATCGTCGCTGAGTTCATCGCAAGCTGACAACCTTTGACAAGCTGGCGGATAGCTTGGCTTGTTGGGCTCTGTGACTGGCGACAAAGGAGGTCTCGTAAATGTTGAGCCTGCTTTTCAAGCTGTGCAGCTGTACGCGGCATCTCTGCTGCCCATGCAACGTTATTGTCAGCTGCTGTTGTGGGTGGAGATGGAGTTCTTACGATTGTGAGCGACGATAGGACTGTTGAAGTCGTGTCTTAAGCAAAGCTCGTAGGCACTATTCGATTGGTTCTTGGGGATGAGCAGAGGTACAGAAAGCTGTCAGGGGTAGGCTATCCGAGAGGCTCGGGGCATGTCATGTGACCTTAGGGTCCGATGTGCTCTGCTTGTTGTGCCTCCGTCTCTAATTGCTGGTTGAGATTATAACAGACCCAAGTACCATTGTTGTCATGAGACTGGTACTCTGCATTTTCAGCTTCAATCCATCCATCCTTGTAGAGGTGTTGGCGAGCCTGCTTCAGTGAGGTTGGCTCTGGCGGTAGCTCGACCTTCGTCGCGGTCAGCACATCGGCAATGGCGGTGTTACGATCAGTGGTACACTAGGTAGCACTGACAAGGATCGCTCTCACACTAACATAGGCAACGACAGAGCAGCGGCAAGTCTCGGTTAATCAGAGACGGAAACAAGGCCCGCTGTCAGACTGCATATATGCTCTCACTGATCTCACAATCTGACGTACAGTAACAGAGCACGCAGAGCACTCTGCATGAACGCTCCCACTGCTCTCACTGCGCTGTCAGATCACACAGAGCAGACAGATCACCACGTAGACACGTTTAGTATATAGCATGTAGGAACACAACCCTTATGGTTCGTGTTCAACCTTGTCAATTAAGTTTGTCATTGGATCTCAACCA